CGATACATCTTCTCTGCCACAATCAGTTGTTTCAGATTTTTCTGGTTGATTGGGTAATTCTCATGCGCAAAGACCGCTTGAACAGGGCTGATCTCGCAAGCAGAATGTACGAGAGCTCCGAGAAGAGTTCGTAGACTAGCCTGAACTCTATGGCATCCGCCGATAACTCCAACACACCCAGGACAAATCATCAGTATCGGAGTCGATCAAGTGGCGATCGGGATCGTAGACATTCGTGGGATAGACGTATGGATTGTTGGGACTCTCCTGATCATGGACATTCCGGTCGAAATATGATGTCCGATTTGATAACAGCGCACCTTCGTCATGTGGAATGCAGTCTTATTCAAACTAAATCGGGACCGTCCGCCTCATCATCGAAATGACCAGTATCAAATACTGAATCGTCGCGATGGCACGCAATACATAAACAATGCAATTCATAATGATTCCCATTGCTTTGTTTCACTTCGATTGGATAGTGACCGGGGATTCTCCGTTCATGTGCTTCCAGGGCAATTTTGTTCAGTCATTCACATACTACTCATTATGAAACATATATATATATATATATTTGAGGATATAAATATCCTAAAAATCGATCTTCGAAAGCATGATATGGAACAAGTTTTTAATCGAAATAATCACACCCAAGCTGATAGCTACACATCTCAACCAGGTATTGAATATTCCCTGGTAATCACCGCAAATCCCTTTTGTCTGGACGCGATTCTTCAGTGAAAGGGGGTATTACGTTACGACTGCTTACGACTGCCAACACGTCCCAGTTAGAATGACCAGATNNATTCTCGGCGGCTCGGTGGTACCATTTAATTACGCCAACTCCCGTATAACTTGAATAGGTGAGAAGCTGCATCAAACTGGATTACGTGGAGATCACAGTGTGACATTGTTGAATTGTTTCTCATCCGGATACAAAGAAGTAGTTCCTTCCGTCCTACGCTCAGCGGGAAGGAATGAATGAGCAGTCCGATGGAGTGAGTATTGTGTCGCAATAACGGTTGCACAATTTCACCTCTGGAAGACCTAGAAAACTTGTACAAGGGTCAATTAAGTAGTAGTAGTAGTAGTTGTAGTAGTAGTAGTAGTAGTAGTAGTAGTAGCGCTGGTAATGTTAGTAGGGTCGTTTCAGTTCACCGAATCATAGGACTTTTCAATCACCCCAAAGTTTTAAATAAATATCAAACTATCTTCGGAGTTGACGTTATCAATCTGTAAAGAACTATCAGTTATCGATTTCGTCTATCCGCTTGATGTCCTTTGTGATCTGAGCTCTGTCACAAACGTCAAGATACAAATGACGTTATCTAACAATGATTCTGCTCTTTTGTCATTCATTCTCGTTTCAAGGTCACACTCAATTCATTGATCTTCTTATTTGATCCGTCTCGAAAAGCCTGAACTGTTTGGTTCTAAAGCGTCTATCCCAGAAATCAGTGATCTGGAGATTTGAAACAGACCCCATTTGTGTCGAGTTAGCGAACCTGAATGAGATTGAATTTCGAACTGGTTCAGTAGCCAAATGCGGTGATGAAAAGCACGTGACACGATCCTCGCCATCGTTTGCCTGCGCACACACACACACACACACACACACACACATACACACACACACACAATGAGCACGTGAGGCTCATGAAATCAGTGTTGATCTCATCTACTGACAGCTGGGTGAAACAATTTTGTCGATCCTTTTCGAAAAAGAGATTGTTCTGCGGGGGCTTTAATACATTCCCGCGACGTGATCGATTTATCTATTTCAATTATTTGCTTCGTCGTACTATGCACATTTAAGTTATTCAGTCTCATTTTGCCCCCACAAAATGCCATCGAAACA